ATTATGTGAGCCTTTGGCATCCTGCTTGCTGGCCTTCCCTGCCAGCATCCCTTCTATTATGCTGCTGTATTTATGTTTTCATTCCAATACTGATAACTTCAGCAAGAAGTAAATTGCCACTAACCGTAAGTCTTTACCATCATATGAACGTATTCATTTTGTCAAGAAAACTCTTTTTAAAAGGAGTTCTGCTGGCTTAGTGGTAAGTGTGCTGCCAATGCAAAGGTACATGGTTTGGATCCACCAGCTCCTCCAAGGGAGAAAGATGGGCGGGCAGTCTCCTCTTCTGCATTTTACTGCCTTTGAAGAAAGTCTACGGGTGGGTCCTTTCAACATTACGGGGGCTTTCAACTGATGTTTTCCTTTGACTTTTGTGAAATTAAATCACCGTGTTAAGTGTATTTATAAGATGCTTTTCTGTTTATGACTAATTCTAAGTGAAGACTTTCTAGTGAATGCTAAAGAACACTGAAGAATAAAAGTTCTAAGTTTAGAGAATAATGTAGGTGGGATTTTAGTAGGGGATATATATCAAGAGTGACTTTAAATTTTCATTAAGATTAATAAAAAAATGATTAAAAAAAAAGAGTGACTTCTTTCCTAAGGAATTCTGGTGGTGCAGTGCATTTTATATTTCCCTGCTAATCAGAAGTTTGGCCATTTTTCTCCTCCAGCAAAGATCTGTGACCTCAGAAACCGAGAAATCTATAATTTTTAAAGATTTAAAATATTTTAAAAGATTGTTCTGGCATCACTGTGCAGAATGAATTGGAATGGGATTTATTTACGGCTATTGTAGTAACACGGGGAGAACGTGTCAGATTCCGAAACAAGTGGTGGAGTGAATATCCGAAGGAAAAGGTGTATTTAAAAGAATAGAAGGGACAGCATTTGATAGGTTGAATATGGACTTGGGACGAGGAATTCGTGACGGTGCTGTGTGCTGTGGTGATGAGGTGTTGGACGTCTCATCTCGGGGATCTGGAGGAGTCCTGCGAGCGAGCTCAGAGGGACGTTTAACCAGGAAGTCCAGGGCAGGACCGTCATCTGGGTAGTGACTTGAGTTAGAAGAATGCAGTGGGAGTTAACAGTCAAGGAGGAAGCCAGTGAGAAGGTAAAGCAGCTGATTCCCAGTGCATGGCACCAAGGAACGCCAGAATGGTGGATAAATGATGAGTGTTGAGAGTAGTGGTCTATTAAACCTCACAAGCACCCAGTGAGAAAAGAAATGCAATCTCGGTTTCTACAGATGACAACATTTCAGGCTGTCAGTTAACTCAAGGTGACTTTGCCCATAAATAGCAGAACTAAGGTTTCAGATGCAGTCTGTCATTTCATAGGCCATTTTCTCCTCTATCTTCTCTGTTCATTTAAATATATTATATGTATTTTTTAACCTCATTGATTCTTTCTTTACCTCTGCCAGTATGCCTGTTTCCTAGTTTAATAAGATTGTATCATGTCTTTTTAAGCAAATATTTTTTCTCTTAATTTCCCTTGCTTCTGTTCCAAATACATTTATCCATTTGACTTTCCTGTAAGATGGACTCCGCCTGTCTCAACTCTTTACCAGCCTGCATTAAAATAACGGGAGGGGAGCACAGGGAGAAAAGTGCAACAGTGAATGAATGGAAATCCAAAATCTCTGTAAATCTTCACTAAAATTAAAAAAAAAATAATAATAACAGGCCAGCTGGCGTCACCTTTCTCTACTGACTACTGGACAGGGTTGGTCCTCAGCGCACCTCAGCACAAAGGCAGGAAAACTACTCAGAAATGTTATTACACGTGCCCCACTTCTCATTAGCACATACTCATTCATGCCTTCAGGTGAATCTGCATGCAGATGTCCTTGCTGTGATCTCAGTGTTCCCCATTAGGGGGTTGTTGCCAAGTGCCATTTGGTCTCTTGAATTTCATAGCAACACTGTGAACAACAGGAAGAGGCATTGCTTGGTCCTGTTCTGTCCTCACAGTCGTCAACTGCGTTTGAGCCCGTTATTCCACCACAGTGTCACTGTCCATCTTGGTGAAGGTCCTGCTCTCCTGACCTCGCTAGCCAGGCGTGACGTGCCGCTCAGGGGACTCGCTCCTCCGCGTAGCATGCCCACACTATCCGCATCTTGACTCCAGGGAGCCTGCTGGCTGCACTCTGGGCTGGTGTGTTCTGGCAGCCGATGGTATGTCCAGTACTCTTTGCCAACATCGTCATTCAAAAGCATCAGTTCTTCTTCAGTTTTCCTTATTCATTGTCCTTTTAACAATCTCCTCTTAATGTTTAGACTAAATGCATTTATCTTCATTAAACGCCAATACTGATTTTTCTAAAAATAATGTCTATCTGCACAGTTGAAACTAGCTTGAAGAATGTTGCCTTAGTTTCCCCTTCCCCATTTGGGGTATGTATGAGTACTTTGTGTTCTGTTCATAGTTTGATGAGCCAACCTCTGCTCCTGCAGGTTTCTAGAAGGATCCTTATTTTGCGGGAAGCAAAAGGCAGTTCTGTTGTGTTAAGAATTTCCTTGTATTGAGTCAGAATCTCATGTTTGTTAACATCCATTTGTTTCCCTTGACTTCCCCTCGGGAAAAGGTGAAGTCAGCGAGTTTTTCTCAGCCTTGTGAAGTTTCAGAAGACACTTAAAAGTCAGTTCGCCTCCTGTTTTTATTACATAAGCCAAATAATCTTGTTTACTTGTAGCTTTTCTTCTATGATAAGTCTTAAGCTTTGTATTCCTTTGAGAATTCTGCCATTTTATCAGTGTTCCCATCTAATACTCAAGGCTTAAAACAGAACGTAGAACCCCACAGGATAGCAGAACAGTATTAGCACCCTAAACTGGGACGCCTGTGTTATAAAAGCTTCTAGTTGCTTTTTTTTGACAGTTTACCTTACCTCTTACTTCATTTACAGAGAGCTCTGGTGGCCTAGAGGTAAGAAGCTGTGCTGCAATCCCAAGGGCACTCAGTTCACATCTGCCCACCAGCTGCTCCGTGGTGGGGGGAAAGATGGACAGTCTTCCTCCCGTGCAGTTTACTGCCTCTGAAAACCTGCTGCAAAACTGTGGGTCAGTTCCAACTCAGGAGTAAAACAACAGCCACTGGTTGCTTCAGTTTTGTATCAACTTTGTCACATTTCGCATTCATTCCATTCGTATGGTCAGATACTGTTTTGTGTAGGTGATAGGTAAGCTAGGTCCCTGTAATATCGACTCTAGATGATTTTCTTTCATCTAAATATAGAACTTTAAAACAAAACCTAGCCCCACATCCACTGCCATTTTATTTTTGTTTTGTTTTGTTTTTTAAAATATAGTTTTGTAGGTGTTTATGCTTTTTTTTATTTCTTGAAATTCTTTTTTTGTGTGTTTACTTTTTCACTGGTTTACCTATAAAATTGGTATTTGTTGCCCCTAACACCAGATCCCCCCACCTCTCCAGTCTTCTGGAGATTTTGAACATACTTGCCACTTTTCCAAGTTCTTCATAAGCGTGACAAAAACAGATATTCCCTATTATACCTACAGGTATTACAGCGCTACTTAGAAATGGTTCTGTTACCCACCGTCATTCCATTGACATCTCCTTTCTTACCTACACTGATCTCATTGATGCACAGAACAAGCATTTTGCTCATATTTACCATGTGTCCTGTAGGCGCTGGAAATACAGTGAAGACAGCCGTCCCATTCCTTGTGGAGATAATGATCTGATGACTTCAAGAAATATGTTGTGGATTATTTCCCCAAAATCAAGTTACAGAATTAATGATATTTTCCTTAATATGATACTATATCAGAAAAAGAAAATTAAACCCTTTTTGTAGATTTCCTGTTCGTTCTTAACAATCCTGTATCACCTGAACTTCATTTTTCTTCTCACCTGTTATGGTTTCATAATGACTCAGAGCTCTGAAAGTCTCCAGAGCTCACTGATGATTTATCGTTTGGCTACGCCTTTTAAAGCTCTGAACTCATGAGGGCCCAGGATCGCCACGTTTTTGTTGGCATTGATGTTATTTTCTCAGATTATCAGAATCACTTTTTCTTTTTAATGAACATAATTATAAAGAATCTGTCCATCTTTTGCCGTTTTTCTTTCCACAGATTTTAGTACACCGTTTTGTTGTTGTTACGTACCATATAATCTGAATTGACTCAAAGCAAATTTTCAGAGGCCTTAAATCACATGAAAGATTGCCTGTCTTTCTCCCGCACGGTGTGGGTGAATTTAAATCACCTGCCTTCGGGTTGATAGTGCAGCATCCTATCCACTAGGCCACCAGAGCTTTCTTGTCACTCAGATTTGCATTTCTGTTTTATCTTTCTATTTTGAAATAATCTTTCCTAAGGGAAATAGCTAACCATGTTGGGTTTTCTCTTTCTCCCTGACCCCCTCTCTTTTTCACACACTTTGGAAGTTACTTTCTCTGAGATCCTGGCCCTTTTCTTTTAAGCTATCTATGTCTGTCTCTCCACCCTGCCCAATCTGCCAGAATTAAGCCGTTAATGAATATAAAACCTCAACATTGCTTTATTTTCTTAGGGCTTGTACTATCACCAGTGCAAAATTTTCTATTTTTACTAAGGTGACGCTTAGAATCTTCATCGTTGGCAGCCAGCCGTCTTCTCAGGTTTGCATTTTTGTCAGTCCATTGTCACCAAACCTTCTTAGGACTGGCCAGTGCCCACTCTGCCCTCTTTCTCCCTGCTCTTTTTTCCTCTCTGTCTCTCCTGTCATTCAGGTTTTTAGATTTACACACATACTTCTTTTCTTGAACAGTTGAGGGTCCCCTGCCTTTTTCTATCGAGTGGCAGATTTCCTCCAGATGTTACAGTCTGTTGTTACCCCTTCCCACCAAGTCTTGGTGATGCCCCTGAGATATTTTTTATCTCCCTCTGTTTTTACTGTTGCTACTACTTTAAAGTATCGTGCATAGCACACTGATGTTCAGTAAATAATATTTGTGATTAATCTCAAGAAGTATTTGCCTTCTCTTTTAGGCTGTGAGGATATCATTGCTGAGAGCATCTCATTAGATACCTTAATTGCCATCCTCAAGTGGAGCTCTCATCCCTATGGCTCTAAATGGGTGCACCGGCAAGCTTTACATTTCCTCTGTGAGGAGTTTGCCCAGGTCATGACTTCGGATGTTTTTTATGAACTCAGCAAAGACCATCTGCTTACTGCTATCCAGTCTGACTACCTACAGGTAATCCATTTCTTCACCTCAAATTCATTGTCCTTCATATGTGCACCAAGAAATTCATCTGTACCTTGTTACTCTTCATCTAGAGTAAGGTCAAGAGCGCACACCCACAAATGCCCACCTCTTCACATTTGTACCACCTTGTGCTCACCAGACCTTCATGCCCACTGCTTCTCAGTACTGTGAGCGAGCACAGGTCCTCAGCGGCTGGACCACAAGGGGCTTGAGGCATCAAGCAAAAGCCATTCCCAAGAGTTAGTGTTCTGGACTTCCATTAATGTAGACTGAATAGAGTGATTTCTCTTATTTTAGTGGAATATCAGATACTTAAATTATAGTCAGTATAATGGAGTAATACTCAATTTCTGATCTTTTTAAATTATTATGAAAGCCTTGGTGTATGGGATCTCCCACAATATGATGTTTTAAATTATTCCTCAATCAGAAGTCATCTTTTAGAAAATTTTGAAATTTTGTGTCCTTGTGTCAGTCTAATCGGGTGACTTAAACAGAAAATAGTCTTTAACATATTATAAAGCATATTTTTAGGTAGACTGTCTTTAATTTTTTTTCCCCACTGGCTATATCAATTTTAAGCGGGAAATTGCCAAAAATTTTAGTACTAGGAAAACCAGTATGCCAGTTTGTATTTCCTTGTATTAATACTAAACACATTATAAGACGCTCCCATCTTAATCAGAAATCCAGGCAGGCTAAATAATTTACTTACCTTTGCTTTACTTTCTTACATTACTTTGATTACAGTACAAATATTGTCATCATTGGGTTTGTGTTATTTAGGATCTGCGTTAATTAACCTTGGCTCACTCTCCTGGGTCTGGCCGGATGTGTTTGTTTATGAAAGTTAGATTTTGTCACTTTTCTTAGATATTGTCTTTAGGAGCTTTGCATGTTTTCTTTGAAAGTGAAAAAATAAAGAGAGTAGCCCCTTGCTCTGAGTTATCAATTAAAGTACAAAGAAATGAAAAGTCCATTGCTATTTTACATACTATTTTTTAATCCTTGCCAGTCAGTACAGTACCTTCTTCCAAAACTGGAGTAGCCAGATATGCTCAAATCATATTGCTTGTTTGTCCTTACAGTAAGCCCTAGTTACTCTGTATTCATAGGCTTTTATTTCTTTAACTCCATCTTGTTCCAAAAATCATTTAAGTCAACTGTTTAGAAAATTTATTTTATCTTACTATCTGTAAGATACATAAAATAAATGTTAAGTGGGTGGAGAGAACAAGATTAATAAAAATAGAAATAAGATTAAAAGCTTAGTTGGAACCAAGACAAGTCAGTGGATGTAACACATGTAATGAGGTCTTACATATTTGCCACTAGTAGACTACGGATTTAAATTTAAAATTTCTAACAGCCAATGTAACTAGTAAAACATGGTAAGTTGTATATTACATGTACATGGCTAGGAAAAGTTATAAATTGACTTTGTAGGTAATTTACTACAATAAATGCAAACCATTTTCTGTTATAGGCAAGTGAGCAAGATATCCTTAAATATCTGATTAAATGGGGAGAGCATCAGTTGATGAAGAGGATAGCTGACCGAGGTAAGCGCAGAGGGTTTGCCTGGGCTCTGTGTTCTTATTTCCCGGTAGCTTACTGAAATGCAGGCTGCGTTATCAGTCTTGAAAATCGCAGCTGGAGGGTTGGCAAGAGAGACAGAGACTCTTAGCAAGGTAGACTGACACAGTGTCTGTAGCAGTGGACTCAAGTGTCTGAAATGATGAGCATGGCACAGGACAGGACAGGGGTTAGATCTGTTGTTGATAGGATTGCTGACTGGACAGTACCTAATAACAAAATCCTTGGTGGGAGGACTTGGTTTATTAGCAGTAAGTGTGTATGCTTAAAAAAAGTATTGAGGGTGCATAGCAAGTACATGGGGGAGGGGGGTTGTATACCAACTAAGAAGTTTATCTTTCACTTTTCAAAGAGAGGAGCTAACTGGGAGTGGAGGGTAAAGAAAAAAGTTGCAACAGTGAATGAATGAAAATCCAAAATCTCTGTAAATGTTCATTAAAATTAATAAAATTTTCAAAAGTATTGAATGTTTCAGAGATGCATTAGAATGAAGTTAATGTCATATGGAAAATGGTACAAAAGCATATTGTTGATAAAAATATTCTGGAATTAGACAGTAATTATGATTGCATAGTGTTGTGAATGTATGGGCTGAAAACCAATAAAATTACTTTAAAGTCATTTAGATGGTGGATTTTATGTTCTAAGAATTTAACTTAAGCTAGATTTTAATAAACTTTCATCTTCTCCCCACCTGAGTAAGTACACAGAAAAGAAGCCTTTATTAGAACAGTTCTACAAAAATGTTATTGTACTCTTGGGTACATGCTTTTACTCTGTCCAAAAACATCTCTATTAAGCTTCTTATATGTAAAAAGAATTTCCCCCCAAAGCATATATAATCAAGTACCCCAGAATGTTACTAAATGTTACCAATGAAAGCTTTTCTCTGAAAATTTCGATTTGGTTAGAAACTTTTCCCTTTCTGTCTCATAGAGCCAAATTTACTGAGTGGCACTGCCCATAGTGTGAACAAAAGAGGTGTGAAAAGGCGAGACCTGGACGTGGAAGAGCTCAGAGAGATCCTTTCTTCTCTCTTACCTTTTGTGCGAATTGAACATATTTTGCCAATCAACAGTGAAGTCCTAAGTGATGCAGTAAGTGTCTTATCTCCATTTATCTCTACTCTGAAAAGAAAAATACATCAAAGGTACCCGCTTATCTTGTTTGCAATCATTATAAATACTTGTACTACTAATAGATATTATAAAATTTGAAGTTCCAGGAGAAAGACAGGAGGCAGAGAAGTCTCTGGTTCAATACAAGTCCCTAGTGTCTGTCACATAGTACGAGTGAGTGTTAGGTGAGCAGGAGTTCACGGATTGAGTTGGGCTTATTTTGTAGGAGCGTGGTTTCTGGAGAAGTCTGTTCACTCATTTTGCATGTAGACAGAGTGGTTCCTTACTCAGAAAGGAGAAGGTAGAAATTACCTTGGGAGTCTGAAGAACAGCACCCACCGTGAGAGCGGGAAGGACAGCAGGATGTTCTCAGTATAAGGAGGGTGGCTTGGGGTTCTGTTTCCCACCCAGTTAAAAGTGATGAAGTTGGTCATATTAATTCCATGGGTTTTAAAAAGTAATTTTTAAGGGAGCTCTGGTGGCCTACTGGCAAGAAGCTGCACTGCAGTCCCAGAGGTACATGGTTCGAATCCACCAGATGCTCTGCTGGCGAAGGAGGAACAATCTCCTCCTGTACTAATCAGATCTGATTTGACAGTACACACACACACAAAATAATTTTTTTAAAAAAACAATTTTTAAAAATTAATAGAATTGCTCAAATTAATAGGAAAAACAAAACTCACCCATTCTAGTTCTTCAGAGTTTCTTTATAAATTTAACACAGTTCTGCAGGGAGAAAAATGTGACAGTGAATGAATGGAAATCCAAAATTTCTGTAAATGTGCGTTAAAATTAATTAAAAAAATTTAACACAGTTCTTACTCAACTTTTAAAGCACGTAATTATACAGAAGTCATCTGGCAAGGAAGGGCATACTGAAAAATGACTCCTAGGATGGCTTTTGTTGTCTTTTTTTTTTCTATTTTATAACTTTATTTGATAATCAGCTGTTTGTTTTCATCCATACTGACTGTAGATTTTTTAAAGTGATGGCAAGTCCATAGGGCACCAGTATATAAAGGTTGTTTGGGGGTTCTTTGTCCTCATTACATTTTCTGGACAACCACACACAGAGTGGTGAGAGGCAGTCCTTATTCATCTGGCCCAGACGGCTTTGTTGAGCCTGGTGTCACTGTGAACACCTGGTGTGCCCTTCTCCTTCATAGCAAATTGGCGAGTCTCCTTGAGTGACCAAGGGGCACACTTCTTAAAGTCCACTCCATGGATGCTCAAGTAAATGACTATTGCTGGTGTGCTCTCTGGTAACCACTTCGTTGATGCTGAATGGCCCTTCTCTCACCCTTCTTTGCGGGACCATAGTGCTGGGACCACACTGGGAAAGAAGCTCGGATGTAAAAAAATATTTTAAAACAGAATCTTTAAACTTGATGCTAGAATAGACCAAATGATATAGTTAAAAAAAAAAACCCAACACCAACAAACCACACCTAAAACCAACCCAACCCTAATTAATATAAAGTGAGCTCTGGTGGCCTAGTGACAAGAAGTTGCACTGCAATCCTGAAGACTGGCAGTTCAAGCCCACCAGCTGCTCCACAGGAGAAGGATGGACGATCTCCTACTCTGCAGCTGATGCCTCTGAAAACCCACTGGAGGGTCAGCTGTGGGTCATTTCCGACTGACGGTACACAGCAACAGTAGCAATTAATGTAAGACTTAAACCTACAGTAAAGGAGCTGTCAAATCATTGTGACTCAAAACTAACTGAGTAGCAGAGGAGGCAGTATTCGCTTAAAGATAAACTCTCATTTCACTTGCCCACAAAATTAATCTCTGTTAGATTAAAAAATGACGTATTCAATTGAAGCATGAAAAATGGAAACAAATATTTTTGAGATCTCTTATTTGGAAAAATGTCCATTCTGACTAGTAATCACACCAAAAAGCAAAATATGTTTAAGATTGTTAACCTATTAAGCCATTGATTTTTCTAGCATCACTTAAGCCATCGGAAAAATACAGATAAAAAGTAGATACATCGTTGATTGATGTGATCCAAGTGAATAGCGGTTACCTTTTTTTTTTGCTTGAATCCACCATCAACATCTATTGGAAACAGCAGTCAGGGGATCTTTTTTTTTTTTTAAGTCAAATCCTTTGACCTGCTCCATTGGGTACTGTTTGTCAGTGTGTAGTATGTTGTGGCTTGTATATTGCTATGATGCTAGAAGCTGTGCCCACCTGTATTTCAAATACCAGCAGGATCACCCTCGGTGTACAGGTTTCAGTAGGGCTAGAAAGTAGTCCTGGCCATCCGCTTGTGAAATAAAATCAAGAGCCCTTGAAAACCATATGAATAGCAGCAGAATATTGTTTCTGTGAGTCATACTCAGCGACACCTAACAACAGTGTTGTCTGACATAGCACCAGAAAATGAGGTCCTCAGGTTAGAGGAGTTGTTTGCTGTTGAGTCAGAACCAACCCTACATGACTCTCCAGCAGGTTTTCAGGGGCAGTACAGCAGGGTAGAAGGCACTTAATGTGTGACACAGTGAAGGCAAGGACTTGGGCACCGCAGTGGTCATGAGGATGGCACAGTATCAGTTTCATTGAGTTATACTTGGGTGGAGACGAGTTGGAGTTGACACAGTGGCCAGCAGCTTTGTATGGGCACATCTGCACAAGACCCTATTTAAAGTATTTAAAAACAAAGATGTCATTTTGATTAGCAGTGATAAAAGGTGGATCTGACCCACAGCCTAGCCTTTGCAGTCATCTCCAGTGCCTTACAATAAAATAAGAAAAACCAAACAATTGTTGCGTTTATATAACGATCTTGGTGAAGAGTATTGACTCTACTCTGGACTGTCACAAGGAGGGACAAATCTACCTTGGATAAATTGTTTCTAGAATATTCTTTAGAAGTGAAAATAATCAGACTTCACTCATCTACTTTTAACATGTTGTCAAACCCTATATAAAAAAAGGGAAGCCCCTCAGCAGGATGGGTTAACACAGTGGAGGCGACAACAATGCACTGTAAATAGCAGCATCCGTGAGGCTGACACAGAACCAGACAGTGTTTTATTTTGCTACATAGAAAGTCACTATGAGTCAGACTGATCTATGTCATCTAGCAGTAACGACAGTTGTTTAGAAATACGCACAAAGGTGTTTGTTAAAATGCTATTTAAATATTTCGAACTAGACTTGTTATTGTTGTGAGATGTTCTTGTCCTACAACCCTGTGAACAGTGAATCCAAACCCTCCCCTATCCTGTGCTGTCAGTCCATCTCATTGAGGGTCTTCCCCTCTTTCGCCGACCCTCCACTTTTCCAAGTGTAGTGTCCTTTACCAAGGACTGGCCTCTCCCAACAAGATGCCCAAAGTTTACTCATCCTTGCTTCCAAGGAGCAGTCTGGCTGTACCATCTCTAGGACATATTTATTTGGCAGTGCATAGGATATTAAGTACTCTTCAACACCACAACTCAAAGGTATTCATTCCTTTTCTGTTACCCTTAGTCATTGTCCAACTTTCAGATGCATAACAAATAATTGAAAAGACTATGGCTTGAATTGGGTTCACCTTAGTCTATAAACTGACATCATTGTTCATTATAACATCATGGAGGTCCCTAATCAGCAGATTTTCCCCAGTACAACACATATTTTGATTTCTTGACTGCTGGTACCAAAGACACTGTGACAACCTCAGTCTTTTTCTGTCTTATCATGCTTCCTGATTGACCCACTGGTGAGGACTTTTGTCTTCTTGATGTTGAGACGTAATCCATATTGAACACTGCAGTCTTTGATCTTCTGCAGCAAGTACTTCAAGTCCTCATCACTTTCAGCAAGCAAGGTTGTGTCATCTGCATAATGCAGGTTGTTGATAAGTCGTCTTCTGATCTTGATGCCACATTCTTCTTAGTAAAGTACAGTATTGCAAATGATTTGTTCAGCATATAACCTTTCTTGACTTTAAACCATACTGTATTCCCTTGTTCTGTTCACATGACAAGACAACCCCTCAGTCTAGGTGTTGGTTTCACATGAGCACAATTAAATGTTCTGGGATTCCCATTCTTCTCAATATTATCCATAATTGTGATTATCTGGCAGTTCTCTGTTGCTGTATTGATCTAGCCATTTTCACTAATCTTCAACAGGATTTTATTTCTATATGGTATATTAGTTATATAGTTTAATAATTTTCACATTCTATGGGATCACCTTTCCTGGGAATGGGAATAAATATGGATCTCTTCCAGTCAAAGACCAGGTAACTGTCTTCCAGATTTCTTGGTTCAGCCTGGTGAGCATGTCCAGGGCTGACTCTGTTTGATAGAATGTGTCTGTTGCTATCCCTTCAATTCCTGGGGACTTATTTTTTGCCAGTAACTTCAGTGCTGCCTGAACTTCTTCCTTCATCACCCTTGGTTCCCGATCATGTGCTATTTCCTGGAATGGTTCTGTTCCAGCCAGTTCTTTTTGGTACAGTGACTTTATGTCATCTGTCTTCTTTTGAAGCTTCCTGGATCATTCAGGATTTTGCCCAGAGCATCCTTCAGTATTGCAACTAAAGGTTTGAATTTGTTTTTCTGTTCTTTCAACTTGAAAAATGCCAAACGCTTTCTCTCTTTGTGCTTTCTAACTCCGGTTCATTGCACATTTCATTACTTTGTCCTCTCAAAACTTCTCTTTGAAATCTTCTGTTCATCTCTTTTACTTCACCATTTTGTCTCTTTGTTTTGGCTTCTCAGCTTTCTAGTGCCATTTTCAAGTTCTTGTCTTGACATCCATTTTGACCTTTTCTTTCTCCTCTGTTTTTGTCGTGACCCTTTCCTTGCTTCTTGGATAATATCCTTGATGCCATCCCATAACTAATCTCATCTTTAGTGTTGAATGCCTCAAACCTGTTTTTGAGGTGACATTTAAATTTAGGAGGAATTGACTTGAGATCATATTTTGGTTCTGTGGACTTATTTTCATTTTCTTCAGCTTTATTTTGAACTTACACATGAGTAAAACAATTTTCTCAAATTATAGTGCACTCTTGAACATTTGAAAAATTCCTTTTAGCTAGCATAAAGTAAGTTTATTTTCTTTTTTGTTTCAGTTTATTTTCTTTACATAGGTATTTTAGGAGCAACTGATTGATTTACACAAAAAACTGATGCAGTAACTGCTTGCCATTTACCTCTTAGACCTCATGCCTTTAAATTATGTGCTAAATGGGAATGGACTCAATGACAGTGACACTGGATTTTTTGGTTTAATGTAGAAATACTTTTCATTTCCCAATTTATAGCAGCATATTTCCTTCCCAACTCATCATACATCTTTTTAAGTACATTATGGAAATCAGATAAAGTATGTAAAATTAAATAATTGGAAATAAGTTAATTCAGATGTACATATTTTAAAACAGATACTGAACTTAAAATGTGGCTAAATATTATGTTAGTAGTGGAGTATATATAAATATATATACATCTTGAAATGTTTTGTTTTATTTTTAAGATGAAAAGAGGCTTAATAAGTACTCCTCCATCAGATATGCTTCCTACAACAGAAGGTGGAAAGTCAAATGCCTGGTTACGACAAAAAAATGCTGGGATCTACGTGCGCCCTCGCTTATTCTCTCCCTATGTGGAAGAAGCAAAGGTAGTGAAAACGTTTTAGGATTTTAGACAAATTTATTATAAGTTCTATATACAGTGTTGTTTATTCTGTTGTTATTTAAATATTTGGAGATAGCTTAAACATCCAGTGGTGGAGAAAATGAAAGTAAAATCTTGTTTGACCTTGTAGTCAGTAACTTTTGGGGAATGTTTACATTTCAGACATACTTTTTAAATATTGGTCATACTAAAATTCATTTTACATTTTTCTCACTGTAGTTATCTTGTAAATTGTTAACTTGAGATGAGGAATGTCATTTTACAAAATATATTTTGTGGTGGTAAGCACAGAAAAGATGTTCTTTAGAAACATTGTACACATTTTGTCTTCTTAGTAAACAGGGCTCTTAATCACTTCTGTCTATAGTAGTGGACTGTTGGGAATTGTGTCTGGTTTTAGAATAAGTATAGAAACTAAGACAAAATGTAAAGTCTCTTATGTAAATAGTTGACATATATATTTTAACATGTTGCCGCAAATGACGGCAAAATGTGTTTCTAAGCACAGTGGTCAATTTAAAAGTGGGCGGCAACGTGTTAAAGAACAACTAGATAATATGATCACGTGAAAATGAAATTCTATCTTTTTTTTTAACATAGGACTTTGGGTGCCCTTTTAAGGAGCTTGAATTTTGAAAGTCAAAAGTCATCATTAAGCTTTCATATGTAAAAGACAAAATGATTTGGGCATAGAATTTAATTGCCTTTTAAAAAACAGTGTCCAAAAAAAGAGAGAAGAATAGCTGTTGAGACTGCTTACATAGCAGCCACATACCTAGTGGGATTTAATTGCTTTGAAAGTTTAGGGTCATGACTTCATGTGACATTCCAGTTCATTTGTCTCATGACGTGGTAGTACTTCTGCCGCTTAGTTCCTTATGTAGTGTCTGGGGTCTTCAGAACTTGGCCATCCAAAACCCAACAACTAATCCCTCTTCACTTAGAGCAGTCAAGGAAGACATGGGAGAAGGATACAGGCTGTGTGGCTTGTTGTTTTCCATAAACATCTGCCTTCTCTGCCAGGAGTTCAGAACTGGATAGGACCCGATGACTGTAACTGAACATTTTGGTCAAAGATTCCATAGAAGGATCTTGATCAGAAGTGGAAAAGGCAGGACAGAAATGAAAATTCTTAAGGACTCAAGACTTTTTGGAGCCAAGAGAATGAGTGAACAACACTTAAACGCATTGCTCTGAGTTGATCTTTAAACCTTAAACCAATAATATCTCCGAAGCTATCTTAAGACTGAATAATTATTTAACTAGTCAAAAAGGACTACCTTGAGCATTATGTTCTTTTAAGAAATACATGGATCGAATTGACAGTAACAATTCTGAAAGACAAGATAGAAAGCGTAGGCACCATTGTGTTTATCTTAAACGAGAGGAGAAGAGCTCATAAGGAGAATAATGAATTGTTGCATGACTCACAGAAATATAACCTGTTACTGAATTGTACACACAGAAAATGAGTGATGTGTACTTTCAACACTGACAATGATTAAATGTAAGAAAAAGTCTTCTCTATTAGGATACATGAAAAGATTTGGACAAGTTTACCTTATTTAGGATAAGTGTGGAATATAATTCTTTCAGAGTACCTGGCATTTTACTCTTTCATAGTTTTTTAATATTTTTCACTGGATCTAATTTTAGGACATTTACCTGTTTATTTCTTTAGTGTGTACATTTTTTTAATTTCTGTTGTTTTTTAATTTTTATTATTAAATTTTACTAATTTTAATGAACATTTACAGAGATTTTGGATTTCCATTCATTCATTGTTGAACTTAGTGTATACATTTAATTTCTATCAAATTTCACATCCTTTATTTGAAAGCACACACTTTAGAATATTACTTTTCAAAGATATTTTAAAAGATTGTTTTAAAAATTTAAAAAGTTAGGTTCTTCTTTCCCTAGTAATCTTAAAACTCAAAATAAACCCTCATTTCATATGACGAAAGCAAATACCTGTTTTTTTTAGTGTGATTGAACAAAAGTGTCAGCTTCACTAACCTAATACTAAATTGTGTTTCTAGTCTGTGCTGGACGAAATGATGGTGGAGCAAACAGACCTTGTGCGTTTGCGAATGGTTCGAATGTCCAACGTGCCGGACACACTTTATATGGTCAGTAATGCCGTACCCCAGTGCTGTCACATGATCAGCCACCAGCAGATCAGCAGTAATCAGTCAAGCCCTCCTTCAGTGGTTGCCAATGAAATTCCAGGTAAGGCAGTAAGTAGCTTCTCATCAGGCAGTTAGATTGACCTGAATTTTCTTAATTGCTGATGTTTGCAGCATTTATATATACTAATTCTTCCTACATTTCAATGCTCATTGTGCCTTTTTTCTACTGAGGAGTTAATCATGTTTGTTTGGGGCTTTGTTTACATTAATGTGTGTATGTATTTCCTCAGTTAAGAGCAGTATTTCAATTTTGCCCTGCTGGTATTTCTAAAACCTATTTACATCAAAGCAAATCCAGTTTATACTGACCCTATAGAACCGAATGGACGTGTTACCATTGACTGAAACTAACTCATAGCTGGCCATCCAGCAGGTTTTCAGAAGCTGTACATCACATAGGAGGAGAGGGGCCATCTCTCTCCTGCGGAGTTGAACTGTCTACCTTTGGGGTTTTTGACTTAACAGTGCAACTCCTTATCCACTAGGTCTACCAGGGCTCCCTAATTACCATTATAAGGTTCAGAATAAATCAGCATTACTGGAAGTACTGACCCTGTGTAATTACTTAATGCATACATTGAATTCTAATAAAATTTCTTTCTTTAGCTTGTTCAGATTTTGTGACTTAGGTCATAAACATTGTTTGGGGGTTTTTAAGAGTTATACTTGGATCCTTATTAAAAGTCTAATCTAATGGCATTTTCTACCAACTCAGGGAGCAGAAACTGCCAGGCTTCACAATTTTTTGTCTGGGTGCTGCTCCTGAAGCACTTCTATTTTAACAGCAGTCATTGCAGGCTATCTAGGTGTTTGTTTAGCCTTTATTGCTTCCTTGGCTGCACTGCTAGCCGGTTCTCATTGAGCCTTTCTAGCTGCAGGCTTTTGATTCCTCTTGGCCATTGTATCAGCAAGAGATGCCCCAGTGAGGGCTGTCTGGAATTTGACAGCACAGCTCGTTCCGAATTCCTTCCAATTGGCCCTTTTGTGGTTTCTTCTGTAGAAGACAGTGCGGTTTATATGCCGCAGGTTCCTTTTGGAAAAGAATGCCGACTTGCATGCTGCATTAAGACACTAGACCCCTGCAGTCCTGGTGTAGCACATTCCTGATCAGAGTAGATCTTGTACCATTGAAACTGCACAGCTTGACCTTGAGGCTAGGGCTGCAGGGGGACAGGGATGATGGCGAGGAGGATTAGCATTGTTTTTATAAGCTTGATGTTAATACAGTTGAACGTCAGCATAAATTCATATTTAGAGCAGAATCTCAACCCAGAGACATTCACATTTCTAAGTACTGAGAAACAAGATTTGCCTTCCCGAGACTGGCTCATGAAGCATGGCCTATTCTGATGTCATCTGAGGTTCCTCACTCATCCGTGCCCACAGCCCTCTATTGAAAGGCAGGACAGCTTATTGGAGAAGGTGTTTGTACATTCATGTCCTTTGCACAGGCTGTTTGTCAGTCTAAGCACCAATGTCTTTCTCTTTGAAATAAGGATTATAGTTTGTTCCTCGGGCTGTTAATAGAATGCTCTGGTGGTATAGTTCATGGGGGTTTGCGCTGCTCACCCAGAGGCTGTCCCTCTCTGGTGGTTTGCACCCACCAGAGCTCCACGAGGGAAGGATGGGCGATCTATCCCAGTGTGATTATTATCCTCAGAAACCCAGTAGAAAGTCAACTGTGAATGGGTTTCCACTCTACATCAATGAGTAAGTGGTTGACTGGCTAGAGTTGTTGGAAGAGTTTAATAGATCATCTAAAGTAAAATGCTAAGGAGTTCCCTTGAGCACAGTCAACACTCAGTAAACAATAGTGCCCCTTCTCACAGCTGAATGGACACCACCCCAGTCAGTTTAGCAAAGATCCGTAGCTTCCTCCCTTCTTCTCCATCCCTGCTGTCAGAACCACACACCGTCACTTTGGTGGCAGCCCCCTCACTGGCATCCGGTTTCCAGTCTTACTCCCATTCTGGTTTACGTCAGATGTTGGCGGACCTTCTGTGGAAAGGGCCCCATAGTCACTGTTTTAGGCCTGGCAGATCCTGCAGTTTCTATCACAGCTATTCAGCTCTGCCTTTGTAGATGAAAAGTAGCCATAGACAATACCCAAAAAAGTCAATGGAACTGTGTTCAATAGGCGCTCTTTCTGTGTCAGTGGGGGAGAATTGTGCTTGTAAAAACAGGTGGCAGATGAGAAAGAGCCCGTAGGCCACAGCCTAAAACCCTGCTTTACCCTCCTGGAGTTTTGTCACAAAGTCACAGCCCTGCTCCTGGCCTGACCGGCACAAAGGGACACCTGTCCACAGGATACCATTTCATCTCCACCACACGTGCTCTGCCCTTCCCAGCCGTCGCTCTCCATGCTTGGAGCCCGCAGCTCTCGTCAGGCAGCTCCTCGGACCCTGTTACGCCTCCTGTGAAACCCTTCTGCCTGTCTTTGCCTGACTCCTTTCTCCTCATTCTTCAAGATGCCACACAGGAGTCAACTTGGCCAGGAAGCCTTTCTTGCTGGCCTCTGGTCTCCGCCATGTGCCCCGCATCCACATTCCTTTGGTACTTTTGCCACTTACTCCCTCTGTGCTCTACTGACTGGCTTCACTGAAAGCAGATCTCCTAGAGGACAGGGACCACATCTTTCCTGTGTAGACTCTCAGATGTAATCCCGAACACATACGACATCCAGCCCATTGCCACTGAGCTGAGGCTGACTCACTGTGGCCAGGAGAACAGAGTAGAACTGCCCCTTGTGATTCCAAGGCTTGCAGGCCTTACAGAAGGAGACTGCGTCATCTTTGTCCCACAGAGTAGCTGGTGGATTTGAACTGCTGACCTGTTGTTGTTGCTGTTGTTGTTGTTGTTGTT